AAAAAAAATCAGAAAAGTTGTTTTTAATATAAATGACAAAAAATTATAATCTAAATATTAAAATTATTAAAATGATTTTAATAAAAAAAATTAAAATTTTTGAATGAAAAAAAAAATCAATATTAAGGATTTATTTTCAATTTAAAAGTAATTATTTTGTAATTTAATATAATTTAAATAGTAAAAAAGTTTGTCAATAACTAATTAACTAATTAAAACATTAAATTAGAGAAAATTTTAGTAAAAATAGGGATGATTAAGTGAGAGAAAGGGAGGGTTAAACTAACTTTGCAAAAGAAGGTGTGAAAGGGAAGTAAACGAAAACGAAGGTTAGAATTAGAAATGAAAAAGTAGACTTTCCTCGAAGGTTCTGTTGTTGGGGGAGTGGTCACGTGAGGGTGGAACCATCAAGAAATTATAACACGTGATGGCGGCTGACACGATTTCGGCGTCGCCGTCGGGTGACGGCACTGTGTCACTGAGTCACTGGGGTTAGTCACCGGTGGTGGGTGGGCAGAGCCAAAATCTCGTTTTTTATTTTTTATTTTTTAATTTTATCGCCATAAGAATAATAGATTGTTTGTTCTGTTTCGGCATATTCGTAAATGGGATACGAAAGATTGATTTTTTTTTTTTTTGGAATGACGAAGGGTTGTTGCCTCGTGCTTTTTTTGGGATTTAAAGAATGTCCAATAATTTTGGACTTGGTCAGTGCCACGTAATATTGTGTGTATTTTTAGATAAAGGGTCTCTTAAATGTTCTAGGAAAAAATGAGTGGGATTTGAAAAGAAGAAGGATGACAAAAAAAAAAAAAATTTTTTTTAAATTTATGTTTTTAAAATATAAGTTAAGGGTGTTTTTTTATAATATATATAAAAATATAAAAATTGATATTAATTTTAATATGAAATGAATTTAATTAGATAATTGATAAATTAAAATTAAAATTTTATTTTTAATATAAATTTATAATAAAAATATATTTAATATATTTTTAATTTATATTCTAATGATACAAATTAAACAAATAAAAAAAAATAAAGGGGAAGATGGAAAGTTGACGAAGACTATGAACTATGAAGTTTAGCGAAAAAAAAAAAAACCACCTAGGGGACCATAGAGAAATGTACAAAAAAAAGTTTAAAAAAAAGGGGGAGATAAGAAATGAGTCTTTCTTTTTTACAATTTAAATTATGAAAATGTATTTAAATAAGAAATATTTTTAATATTAAAATCTCACTTTTTATTAAAAAATAATAATAAATTATAATCTAATCTGTAATAAATATTTTTAATAAAAATTTTGAAATTGATGGTACCTTTTTAGCATGTCACTGCATTTCTTTTTTTCAACGGTGATGTTATTATTGCTTAACTTTCTACCAAAAAGGAAATTAAATAAACTTTCTCTTTATTATCAATATAGTAAGATGAACTCCAGCCAAGTAGTTTGATGGTCGCGCGCTTTATTTAAGGGATAAAATATTTATTCGATTTAGAAATTGAATTCTCAATTGATAACAATTAATTAAAATTAATTTTTTAACTATTATTCTTATAAAAAATATATAAGATATACGAATTATTTTTTACAAAATTGACAATGAAAATAAAAATAATTTATAAATTTTTTGGTAAGAATATAATTTTAATTATATAGTTGGGTAGTTGAATTATTTATATTTTTAATCATAAATTTAAAATTCGATTCTTAATCCAAACAAATAAAAAAAAGAAAGGAAAAAAATATTTATATATAATTTTTACATATTATATTTATATAATCTTAATTATTTATCTTTTACTTTTAATAGTTGATTTTATCATAATTTTTTAGGTAAAAAGATA